GCAAATGGGGCCTGCAGCCTTGATTTTATTATTGGAACCATAGTATACCAGACAGAACGTCAAACCTGACCTGTTGTTGTTGTTAGGTGCCGTCAAGTCAGTTCCGACTCATAGAGACCCTATAGTCCTAAAAGTCCTCCTCACCACAACCCTACCACTGCCACTGCTAAGAGCCAGTCTGATTCTCAGGATCCTACCGCACCCCGATGGCCCACGGGAGAGCAACAGACCAGAAAGGAGGGAGGAAGTAGGAAGCTTGAATGTTATTGTTGCTAGTTACCATCAAGTTGGCTCTGACTCATGGAGACCGTATGTATAACAGCCAGTGACAATACCCCTGACACATGCAGCCCAATCAGATTTCTTCCCTTTGGGGAAGTGAGGAGAGAATTAGGAGAAAGGGGCAGAGATCTTCAAATATTATGTTGCCATCTTATATGACAGTTTTATAAACAATGAGGGAATAAGTTAAACGTTGATGATTTAGCGTAGTGAAAATTGATATAAATGGAAGAGAGAAAAGAAAGCAATTGGAAGGCTTTAGTTTAAGGGCTTCCCCTGCCACCCCTTCTCCATTTAACCCTTTCATGACTTGTAGAACGGATGGTATCCCACCCACTTTTCATGCCTCTGTGGTTTTTTGGGAGTATACATTTCCTGCTGAAAGTATTTGCTTCCCTCCAGTGGGGACTTGTGTAATGGTGAAAGAATGTTCATTGAAGCAAAAAAGCTGGGGTATTAGGCAAAACCAGAGGTGCCCCATGTACCCAAATGGAAGGCATCCACAATAAAGCCTGCTACGCAAGACTGATGGGCCAGACAGGCTCCCACATATCATGTATTTTCACGTAACATTCCTTAAAATCTATATTACCAACCAAAAACTTAAACACACTCAATGACTCAGCATGCATTCCACTACTGAAAACATATGGTATCAACAAAAAATTCAAAGTAGAAAATAATCCGGTCTTGAAAGGGTTACATGATTTCCGTAATATTAAAAAAAAAAACATTTTTTTTTAAAGAAGTAAAGTTAAAAATACTTAATCTTTTGAAGGTAATATTTAAAGGTACATCGTGTTGCTGTGTTTTTTCTGGGTCTCTGCTTACATTTGCGCACACACACACACACACACACACACACACACACATGCTCACACACAAGGACATCATCACATCTCACTATTGCTGTATCTATATACAGCATCTAACTACAGTAAATACTGCTTATATAAATGCAAGTACCCTCAGAGGTATATGCCATCTAATGATTTTTTTATTATTAAAATCTCCAATATCCTTAGGAAATGGAGTCACTGCACTCTATGGTTTTCCCCTCCTTTTTACAGGGTTTTTATGTTGTTGTTTAATTTTGATTACTTGAAATTGGCATTTTTCCCTTTTATAACACTTACATGATACTCCCACTTTAGGACAGACTACGTTTTGTAAATCACACAACCTTCTCCTTTATCTCTTCTCTCGTGAACAGATCAGTGGCCATCAGTGTGCTGGCTTGAGCATCCTTTACCTAAAATCTCCTAATCCTTCACTTCCCACTCAGAGTTTCTCATTCTCCCTGGATCTCGTGTTACCCAACTCATTGTTGACCAGCATGTTCCCTCAAGAGGCAAAGCAAAGCCACAATCTGCCTATGAAGAGTCAGTCCCCTTTAATGACAGCACCCCTGGGGAACCCCACCACTCCCCCATCCCTGAAAAATTGCACACACCTCTCTGTCTCCCATGAAAACATGTGCTATTATTCGTTGGATTGTGATGTTCTGTTTGGGGGTCTGTTCCTTGAGAGAGAACCTTTTACCTCCAGCCCTTGGCTCACAGAGAAAGAAAGAATAAATCAATACTGTCTTGGACCTTGTTGCAAAAATAGTTATTATACATACGATCATTATTACTAATCGTTATTTTATAATGTCATCCAAACTAAAAACCAAACTCGTTGCCATGAAGTCGATTCCGACTCATAGCGACCTTATAGGACAGAGTAGTACTGCCCCATCGGGTTTCCAAGGAGCGGTTGGTGGATTCGAACTGCCGACCTTTTGGTTAGCAGCCAAGCTCATAACCACTGTGTGACCAGAGGTCCTATAATGTCATACATGCATATTATATTACATTTATAAAGCTTACATACCTACAACATTGTATTTGAGGTCCCACAGCTGCCCTATGAATTTTCTACATTATTGGTATTTCTAAAATAAAATTGTGGGTGACCTTCATTTTATAAATGAAGAAACAAAGACTTATAGAGGTCGTGCCTTGCTCAATGGGCAAAAGCCTGCCAAGTGGCCAGACTGGGATTTAAACACAGGTCTGCAAACTCCAAGTCAATGCCTTCAGCTGAGTCATGGTCCCTGGGCAATACTGCACAAACTGAACAGGCAACAAGCGTTTACATAGCTTGACTCCCAGGGAAGACAAGCGTCATAAAGGGGTCCTTCCTAGGACGAGACGGACGCTTTGAAAGCAGATTCTTGTGCACGTGGTCTCTCTACTGAGTCATTTTTGAGTCCAGGCAATTGAATCGCCACCATCAGACTGAGACCCTGCCTCTAATGCCACACACACCTCACAAAGCAAATGAGTGCTTTATCGCAGCTTGATTCCATGCCAACACTTTGAATTTCTCTAAGTTTACCCCACTGTATCCTTTCTGTTCCAAAAATATGGAAAGTCTTTGAGTGAAATAAATTTGGAAAGGATGATCATCTTTCTTGGCCAAGTGTTATTAAATAATCTTGCTAGCAAGTTTGATTTATTTTTCTCGGAATAATCTTGTGCTTCCCTATTTGAGATTCAACATTCTTTGCGTGTTATTAAAATACGAATCAGTGAAACCAGATAGCAAATTAAAATTTGCTCAGGTTGATCAATTTCCAGAAACAGAGCAGCTGCTCAACGACTCCTACCAACTCTTTGGCCTCATTCCCCAAGGAAAACCTATTCTGGAAATGGGCCTCACACCCTGAATTCTCCACCCTCGTGGTTGGACTGACAATCTGCTGGGGGGTGGGGGCGGATGAGGCAAGCAACCTAGCCTCCACAACCAGACGTGTTCAAGACACAACATGCCTGAACCCAGAACCTATAGGGTCTGCCCGTAACTGTTTAGGAGGACACCATAACCCTCAACATTTGTCCAGCCAAGTGCCTCACAAAGTGTGGTCTTTGGACCACCTGAGTCAGGGTTACCTGAGAGCTTGTTAAACATGCAGATGCCTGGACCCCACCCCAGACTCGCTGAATCAGAGCCTCTTAGGGTAAAGGCAGGGCATCGGTACATTTTACAAACTGCCCAGATGTTCTGATCAAAGCTGAAGTTTGAGAATGACCTTCATTTCATTACCTCACTGTAAGTCCTCTAGTCGTTCTGTGACAACTAAAGACATTTTATTTCCGACTAGACACGGATCAGCAGAAGGCACTGTGGTCTCTACCCCCACACAAATTTTCTATTTTCAATCTTTATCATCAGGGTCCCAACCAAGTTTTGAAAAATGTCAGCCACTTGAAAGAAAATTTACATTTAAAAGATCTTCTATTAAGACGTTTCAAAATTAGTCTCCACTTAGTGTCTTAAATTCTATCAGTGTAAAATTTCAAAAACTGTTTATAAATGGGGGGAGGGGCATAATGTAGTGAGAGTCCCTGGTGCGAATGGTTAACACACTCGGCTGCTAACCAAAAGGTTGGAGGTTTGAGTCTACCCAGGAGGCACCTAGGAAGAAAGGCCTGGTGATCTACTTCCAAAAAATCAGCCATTGAAAATGCTATGGAGCACAGTTCCACTCTGATACACGTGGGGTCGCCATGAGCTGCGATCTGGGGCAACTGGATTATAATGTATTGAAAAGAACGTGGATTCTAGTGTTATACAGAAATAGATCCAAATTCTGTGCGGTTTTGGCAAAGTCATCTCTGACTGTCAAAATTCTCATTTCCCCCTTGAACTGGATGTGAGGGTTAAATGAGAATACCCGTGTCGAGCCCCAGGGCAGTGCCTGGAACACCATGGGTGTTTAGTAAAAGTTATTTCCCTTTCCACCATCACCATTCAGAGCAAAGCCTAAATAGGGTATACAGCCGTGATGGCCAATGACACCTCAGATTACCCCGCAGCCACCAGAAAATAGCCAGTATGATATTTATAACTCTGAACTATAATAAGACAAATGATCACTTAGCAGGGAAATGGAAGAAAATTGATTCTGAGAATAAACGCAATGCATCTCTTTATGATTAAATCACATTTCTGCCTCTGGGGTTAATTTCTCTCACAATTATTATATTATACTTTCACAGAGCTCTTCTTTCCAAATAGGATTAAGTTATTCATTTGTTGTGAACACAGCTAAAGGTTGCATTGACACAAGAGTATGTTTTCTTTGTTTTTAAAATATTTTTTAAAAATCCTTATTCAACTTTAAACACCATAAAAATATTTCTTTAAATTCCCTGATAGTTCTATTGTCCCTAAAAAACTATTTTCATTTGTTTCTTATTTTCTATCCAAAATTTAAACAACACAAATTACTTTTAAAATATAAAAGTAAAATACATTATTATGGAGAAAATTTGGAAAATAATAAAAATAAAGTATAAAGAAGAAAATACAGATCTCAGGTAATTCGGCTATCAAGCTGTGATCAACCCAACCACTTTGATGTAATTTCTACCAGACTTCTTTCCATTCGTATCCTATTTAGTTTCCCAACCTTTTTTCTTTCAGCTTAGTCACTAAACATTCATCAAAACACAATTTTTACTTTTTAAAATATTTTATTGTGTTTTAGGTGAAAGTTGGCCCAGCAAATTAGGTTCCCATTTAACAATTTTTATACAGATTGTCCTGTGACATTGACGACAGTTTTCACGGTGTGGCAACGTTCTCCTTATTTCCGTTCTGTTTGTTCTCAGCTTTTGGAAATCAGGTGGCCCGCTCTTCTTTTGGGGTCACCTTACTCATCAGGCTTTCACAGGATCTAACTGACCCCTGGGCTACTTCCCTCTCACAAGTGACCCACATCTAGTCTTCACGTAACAGTCAACACACCCTCCGCTCTAAACATTAAAAACTAGTTGCCTTGGAGTTGACTGTGACCCATGGTGACCTTGCATGTGTTAGAGTAGAACTGTGCTCCGTAGAGTTCTCAGTGACTGATTTTTTGGAAGTTGATCACCAGCCCTTTCTTCTGAGGCTCCTCTAGGTGCACCCCAACTGCCAACCTTCTAGTTAGCAGCCCAGCACAGTTAACTATTTGCACCATCCAGGGGCTCCTCTTAAAAATTAGCTCCTTGTCTTAGTCATCTAGTGCTGCTATAACAGAAATACCACAAGTAGACGGCTTTAACAAAGAGAAATTTTTTCTCTTACAGTGTAGGAGGCTAGAAGTCTGAATTCAGGGTGCCAGCTCCAGGGGAAGTCTTTCTCTCTCTGTTGGCTCTGGGGGGAGGTCCTTGTCATCAGTCTTCCCCGGTTGAGGAGATTCTTAGCACAGGGACCCCAGGACCAAAGGATGTGCTATTCTCCTGGCTCTTGTTTCTTGGTGGTATGAGGTCTCCCTGTCTCTCTGCTCACTTCTCTCTTTTATATCTCAAAAGAGATTGGTTTAAGACAAAACCTAATCTTGTAGATTGAGTCCTGCCTCATTAACATAATTGCCACTAATCCCACCTTTATTAACATCATAGAGGCAGGATTTATAGCACATAAGAAAATCACATCAGATAACAAAATGGTGGACAGTCACACAATACTGGGAATCATGAGCTAGTCAAGTTTACACACATTTTGGGGGCACACAGTTCAATCCATAGCACTCCTCTTCACTGTCTGAGCTACTTTTCCAGTCAGGTTTTTCACCGAGATTTTTCAAGCGTGAATAAAATACCAGTCCACTGAATGCCTGAAGCCCCAGGGGTCACAATCAAGCTCTTTCAGTGCTGGATTAAACTCCCTTATTCTGTGTGAAAGAAGAGCCCCCTGTGGTGGTTGTGCTTGGTGCCCTGCCCACATCCCTTTTGCTAGGTGGGTGTGCTCATCCCCCAGTGCTTTGTTGGCTGCTAACAACTCACAGCTGCCCCCTCTTCTCCACTGAACCTCCCTTGGTAGAACAGGAGCTGCTTCACTGATAAGCATTCTCTCATTCTGTCTTCACAGTGATGCTTTAGAGGATATAGTGTTATTAATCTCATTTTATTGATCCTCATTCATAAAGCTGGATCTCAGAAGCTATTCAATGCCTGGGCCTAGTTCCAAACCCAGGTCTGCCTAATTCTTTATCAAGTCTCTTTCTTATAACCAGGGCTTCGAACCAGTTTGAACCAGTTCAGTCATGGTGAATGCAGTGAAACCAGAACAGACCCGAATTTTAAAAATTTGGGTGACCTGGAACCATAACCAGAACAGAAGAAGTTACATATCCAAGCCCTGGAATAGGAGACTTGGAAGAGGCATAGTGAGCCCTTTCAGGAGCCTGATGCATGATACTGGATTATTGCCAGGACTGTGGAAAGCGACACACATTCAAAGCAGTTTGGGTCAGCAGCCATGTTTGAGCAGGGCACTGCTGTTTCCAACTCTGCACAAAAGCCAACAGGCAAGAGACTTGGTTGCTATGCAACGGGTATGCTGCCTTTGTTTTCTATGATGGAGATTAAGTGTCCAGCAGGGCTTCAACTGATAATTTTTCCCATCCCAGTTATGCTTCCAGTTCATTCAAATTTTAAAAATTCGAGTCTGTTCTAGTGTCATTTCCTCAGCCATGACTGAACCAGAAGGAACGAATTTGAAGCCCTGCTTACAACACTATAATTCCCCACCCTAAAATTGCTCTCCCTTTTCCGGTTCAGTGCTCCTGTGACCTCAGTCAGCAATGATTCAAGCTCTAGGTTCTAGCTCTTTCTTGTTGACACTAAAGTCTTTTCATTTTCTTCCTCGGCACTCAGATCTGTGTGACTTCTGAAGAAGAACAAGATGGCTTTATCAGAGTTCTCAGTGGAAAGAAGAGAGGCCTCGTCCCCCTCGATGCCCTAGAGAATATCTGACTGCTGGCCCCTTCTCCTTGTGCTGTCTGCCTCATCTCACACTGTGTCAGCCCCAAGGAGTTGTCACACTGACCCTGCCACCCAGGAAACAGTGAGACAAGACTGGAGGAACTGAGAGACTGTGGAGTAACAGCAACAAAACAGAGGGTCCATCAGTCGGCACCTCCAGGGTGGGGACGAGGCTGAGGGGAGTCTGCCAGCAAAGCTGAGTTCCACAGCTGACAGCAGTAGCAGGGCTGTAACCCACTGCTGTCCTCCAGGACTCACCTTCCTCTCTGTCCATGTGGAGTAAGCTAACCCACTGGAGTGTGTCCCAGTGTGCAGTGTGGCCCCAGTGAGAGGCTCAGATACATGCAGCCAAGTGTGATTCTGGTTCTAAACCTTCGTCCCCCATCCCAGTCAATCAGCATCATTACATTTCAGACCCTGAGCAGTCTCTCTGAAGGGCATTCAAAAGGCCTACTTTCTAGCCTCCAAAATTCCAGGGTTCCCCAGGGCCCCCTCACTTTGCGACTCTGCTGTCCACAGTGGCAGGCCAAGTTGACACGGCACTGACTGGGGAGACCTGACCTTCCCAAAGATTGCCGTTGGCAGTCCTTCCTGCTGTTGTATTTACTGACAGAGACCACAGAGTAGGATACCAGGCAGCGTGGATGCAACCCATTATTCATAGATATAAGCGATGAGGGGGGCAGGTGGGAATACGGTGGGCAAAGAGTCCTTATTTATTGACTCATATAAGATCCTTTCAGATGTGTTCTGTCAGTCAACACACAAAGGCCATGGAGCCATGCCTAAAGGAGAGGGAGCTGGGGAAGATAATGTGGCAAAAGTCTCACTCGTAAGCTCCTTTTCATATTACAACCTCTGTATTTGGGGCAGCATTTTTCCCTCATGCCATCCTGCAGGACTCCCTGCTAGAGGCTGAACCCATCTTGCAAGGAACCAGGAACACAGAGAAGAACCAACAATAGCATCTTAGAAGAAATGTAACCAAATTGGATTCCATTCTTCTGTAGAGCAGTATGTTATACCCCAGCAGATGTAAAATGGAAAAGAATCCTTAATGCTTCAAGCAGAGGGACTTGGGGCCTATTTAGCACCAACTAGAGGAATCCGTATTACTCTGTACTTGTCCTAATGTTTACAGGAATACAATATACTGTGATGCCTTCCTCCTCGAGCCTCCTCCTAGCATTCTAACTTGCATCCTGTTAGTCATTAATATGGTTAAATTTCAGTTCACAATGACCTTGGAATCAATGTCAGTTTGGTTTATCTTGTTACAGAGCAATAAAATCACTAGCGCAATTGGTTTCTAAAAAGACTTAAATGGATGCATCCTGCGCACGTAAGCATTATTTTCCAAACCAAAGCATCCTGAGTTTCCATTTGCTTCTTGTGTTAATGCTCAGCATGAAGGCAGGAGCTGAGACAGGATGGCTGGTGGTTTCACAGTAGTTTGGATGCCTTATTCTCAATTTAAAGCCAGCAAACAGAAGGGCCTCCCTCCCTGTGATACAACATGCAAAACCAGGTGTACAAAGTCAAGATGGATTCTTTGAGAGCTAATGTGGATGATATGACTGCCTTTCTCAATTGAATGCTGGAGTGCAAATGCTCTTTGCCTCAAATTCAATATTCCATTTAATAAAGACAACACAGTGGCTGGAAGGAGCATAGAATAATGTGTCCTGATCTCTTCTCTCTGGTGGGATATCCATGAAAGTGTTGGGTACGGTGATATCATATCTATGCACATTTAATTTGCACAAATGCAATTTTATGTGTCCAGCAAACAGAAAATTTCCTTTATTTACTCCCTGTTGGGGAAATACAATTAAAAAAAAAAATCTATTGCCAACCCAGACAACCTCTCCACAAAAATGTAAGAGAAAGAGAAGTTTTATTATTGAATAAGCATTAAACCAGAATGTGATGTGCATCGCAGGCAATCCACTAAAGAGATTGCAAAGACAGAAAGAAATCTTACCCTTTCTGTAGCAGCGTGGGTACAACCCATTATTCATGTTTTCCAGATAAAATTGCTGATTTTCTAGTATCTTTATGGCAAGTTACCTTAGGTTATACTAATCTCCTTCCATAAGATGTGGGGGGAGGGGAGGTAGAAGAGGATTATCTGAAATTACATTTTAAAGAAGTGGCTGCTAGGCCCCTGAGTTAGCACCTTAGATTTGTACACTTTTCAAAGAGCCAGAGAAAGAATTTACAAGTTACTTAAAGGGAATTCCGAAAGAACAGGGTGTGGAGCGAGGGACGCTTCTTGCCTTATTTTCATCAGGGAGAATGAAAACCTCTGATTTTCTATTTGAATTTGTCCTCGCATCCCCTCTGTCCTTTCCAACGATATCTTAACCTCCACGACCTCAAAGAAAGGGGGGCCATAGCCAACAAGCAAAGAGAAACAGAATAAATTAATTATCGGCTTTTGAGCTCCCAAGGGCCCAAGTCCCGAATTGTGAAGGATAATTTAGGGGATTTTCAAAGGAGTTTCGTGTATGAATTATTTTTGCCTTACCTGCTATCTTTTGGTCTTAGCCCATAATAAGATTTGACTCTGTTGTATGCCTGTTGCCACGCTCTCGTCTGGCTTCCCATCCTTCATTCACCACTCCCAACCAAGTGCTCAGCAATGGTTAAGGCATCTTTCACTGAAATAACACAAGAAGGCAAAAAAGGGAATCGTAGTTACTGAAAATCTGTTCTATGAAAGAAAAAGGGAAAAGAGGATAAGGTTGGGAAGGGATATGTGGCAGAAGATAAAGTGGTTTCTAGGAACTTCTAAACACAACCAAGACCCCTGGAGGGCCACTGTCAGCTAGTAGGATGTCTACTCAATGGAGACAACTTTCCCAGCCATGTGATGGAGTGACAAAGGCCATGAGCTACTCTTCCCTAAGGAGCACTCCATGAAAAATGAAATCTGCTACAGAATTCCAGAGTCTATAGGAAACAGACCCATCAGGAGCTGAGCTAGGAAGACCCTGGGGCCACCTGACAGGTCTGAGTGCCTGTCTGGGGAGAAGATCAGGACGAGATGACCACCAAGGCCATTTTGGTTCTGAGATTTCACCCTTCTAAGATGTAGGTTGGAGCCCTGGTGGCACAGTGGTTAATAGCTCAGCTGCTGACCAAAAGGTCAGCAGTTCAAATCCATCAGCCGCTCCTTGGAAACCCTACGGGACAGTTCTACTCTGTCCTATAGGGTCGCTATGAGTCAGAACAGACTACATGGCACCTAACAAAAACCACAACAACAAGATGTAGGTTTTCACCATCTTAGTCTAAATCCTTACAGACAAACAAAATGGTAATGTCTGTGTACACACAGAGTTGGTTGCAAATACTTTCTGGAAATAGAACAACTAAGGTTTGGGGAAACTTGTTTCTCTGCTTCAAACCATCCAACATTTTTTTTTTCATTTTTAATTACATAATCCTATTTTCATTCCTGGGAGCCCCCGGACGGCACCAACAGTTAAGCACTGGACTACTAGCCAAAAGGTTGGTGGTTCGAACCCACCCAGAGGCACCTTGGAAGACAGGCCTAGCGAGCTGCTTCCACAGTGTCACAGCCTTAAAAACCCTATAGAGCAGTTCTTTCTACTCTGCACACGTGGGGTCGCCATGAGTTGGAATCAACTCAAGGGCAACCAACAACAACATTTCCATCCACAGACATGTTGTTACTGTGTGCCATCAAGTTGATTCCAACTCACAGTGACCCCGAGTGACAGAGGAGAACTGCCCCATAGGGTTTCCTAGGCTGTAATCTTTACGGAAGCAGATCGCCAGGTCTTTTCTCCCACAGAGTATCTGGTGGGTTTGAACCACCAACCTTTCAGTTAGTAGCTTAACCATTGCACACCAGGGCTCCTGTCCACAGACATACCTACTGTGTAAATTTCCACATCATTTTCTTTTCACTTGTATACATATTTACATATATAATAGTTTTAAATGGATGAAATCATACCTCATGCACTGTTCTGCAATTTGTGGTTGTTGTTTTGGGGAGGGTAGGAGGGATTTACTTCATTAAATGTCTTAGAATTCTTCCCAAGTTGTAGGCACATGCCTTATTCACTACAAAGCACAGTGGTTAAGAGCTCGGCTGCTAACTAAAATGTCAGCGGTTCGAAACTACCAGCCGCTCCTTGCAATCCCTATGGGGCAGTTCTACTCTGTTGTATTGGGTCGCTATGAGTCAAAATTGACTCGATGGCAATGGGTTTGGTCTTTGGTTTGGGTCCTCACCCTAGTATTTCATGGTATAGATTTTATAGCACAATATTTCTTGCTTAATAGTCCTTTTTTCCACCATCTCTTTCACATTATTTTGAGCCGACTTATTCTATTACTTGTTTATCTTTCCCGCATTATATTAAAACTTCTTAAAGACAAAGAACATACATTGTTTATTTTCTAATCCAAGCAAAGCTTACCTCCAGCTCATAATGCAATGAATGGCGCCCAGTGGACGCTCAGTCAATATTTGACGAATGTATTGAGTTGTTCTTTCCCCTTCCTAACTGACTTGTATAGGTGGAACTTGGGTAACTAGCGAGGTGCCCTCAATCAAGCCTGGGGTGTAAGATGGCCCCCAGTGACTTAAAGTATAAGATCATATCCTAGTAAATCAAATGATGTGCAATGCCCCTTAAGGGAACAGACTGACTCCAAGTCCACAATATCTGCTCAATGATATTGACCAATCGAACAGCGTCTTCCTCAGAGGATGGACAAGTCTCAGAGGCAGTGAGCAGCGTCCATCCCAACACTGCTCAGGAATGAAGTGCCATGTTCACTGGATACACAATGCCTTGTCTGCTTGGCAGTGTTAGACAAACTAGCCTCCCAAAGTGTGCTTTGATTAAACTGGCAAGTCACAGCTAACTCCATTTTTCTGACAAAACTATGGCCTCTTTTCAGCCTTTCATTAACTGTTTTGGCACTTTCTCAATTCCCCTTTTGGCCCT